GTACACAAACACACACACACACACACACACACACACACACACACACACCGGCTTCGTTCTCACTTTGAAGAGACATGGTCTATCATGATCTATCTGGCCTGCAATCCTGTTGCCTCAACCTCCTGAGTACTAGGATTTGGGGCTTACACCACTACGCCTAACTCATTCTTTGACCCTTCTTTTAATCCTACCAAAGCAGATGAGAGAGTATGTGTATTTGGGGAAGGGTAAGGTTGGGGAGGATAAGACTGACTAAATTTCTGAGCAGCTCTAGGAGGGCTGCCTTGATGGGGAAATAATTTGACAGAGATCATGACCCTTTCCCCCAGGATGGGCTGCAAGTTCAGGAGTGCCCTCATTTCTTCTTGAAGCCCTGGCTCTGTCCTCAGCATCGGTGTTTCACAAAAGCTTATTTCTCTAGGATAAGCCATGAAAACACATCACCAGCTCCATGAAAAAAGAGTCCCGGGGCAGCAGACTGGGAGATGGGTTGCCTTTTGGTCAGCTCATGGAGGGGCAGCCCTCCTGGAGGGAGCCTATCTAGTATTTTCCTCAAAACAGAGCAGACTCATTGCTCTGCTCCTGGACAGCAGGAAGCTGACCTCATTGTTGGCCAGGGAGGAGCCACAAAGGTTTGTGGAAGAGTTACTGATTCATCTTAACAGGGAGGGACGTGCTAGGGCAGGCTGGCTGCCAGTCCCTGGTGAAGAACCAATAAATATTTGTTGAATGACCACACTTTCTGCTTTTCTCTTGTGAGTCAAAGCATTCTCCAAGTGGTAGACCAGAAAGGAGGGCCCTGAAGCTTCTCTGTGGCTCTTCACTAACTATCAGTGGTGTGACTGAGATCATTCATAAATCGATGAACAGCATGGCACCTGGTGCTTTGAACCCTATCTTAAAAGGAAATTAGAGAGACTAGGCTATTAGAGAGGGCTGTAGTCAGGTGCCATTGCCCCTTGAAGGTAGTCAGAGGGCTGAGTCTGGAGATGAAGGGTTGGGGGGGGCTTTCCTTAGGCTACTGCTTCTTCATTCTGATCTCCACTTCCTCTAAAACCTTCTGTAGGACCTTAGATTTCTCTCCCTCAGCCTGCAGCCATACCACCCTATACATGGCCTCTGTTGTCTGATTTCTTTCCCTCTCTCCTGCCTTCAGGGTCTCCATGCATCTTCTGCTTCTCCTCATGACTGGGGCTTTCAGCATCAGGGAGAAACCCTTTTCCTCCCTCGAATCCTACTGTTGACCTATGGTTGTGGCCACAGGTATGGGCGGCTGAGGGCTGGGCCTCAGGGAGCTATTTAGATCTTCTGTTCTGTGTGGTCTGCTAAAGTGGCAGCTGGGGAAGAGGTAACAAACTCCGCTACACTGTGGACACCATGTTTTTCTCTGCTCAACCTGGGAGCAAGGGTCAACTGAAGTATAGCTGACTCTGAGACCTCTGCCTTCCCAGAAGCTGGTGCCTCTCACTGGGAATGGGCTGGCAGTACCTGTGATTGCCCAGAGAGGAAGCTGTGGAGCAAGAAGGATGGGCTGCAGGGAGGTCTCAGGGTAGGGGTGCTGATAGAGTAAAGCCAGGAGGGACTTTATGTGCAGGAGGGGCTTATGCCTCAGGATGCTATCCAGGTTTGAGGGGCTCCAGCCCAGAAGTTACTCAGGTTGAGTGGCAGCTAGAGGAATTGTGGCATTCAACCCACCCAACCCAAGATACCAGCTGCTGAGCTGGGAGCCTTTTGCTTATAATCTTTTCAAGTCCCCTTTGAGAAGGACAACATTCTCATAGACAAGGACATAGACCAGAGAGGACAAATGGTCAGGAGCTGGCCAATGGCAAAGCCAGAATGTGAATCCAAATTACTAAGTACTTCTCTCATTTTGGGAGGTTCAGGCAGACAGATGAGTGATCCTCAACGCTGCCAGCTAGGCTGAGCCTGGTGGCATAGGCCTGTACTTCCAGTTCCTTGAGAGACAGAGGCAGGAGGATCACAAATTCAAGACCTGTCTGGGCAACTTAGTGAGAGCCTGTCTCAGATTTTTGAAAAGTATATGAAAAGGGCTGGTGATATAGCTCAGCAGGAGAGTACTTGCCTAGCATTTGGAAGGTCCTAATATCACATGATCCAAGAAAAATTAGAGAGAGCTCTTCCTCCCAAGTTTCAGGAACAGAAGAATGGGAAACAGAATATGATTATCATTTCTATCATTATACATCTATGTATAGTGATAGAATGTATATATATATATATTTTTGTTTGTTTGTTTGTTTGTTTGAGACAGGGTCTCACTGCATAGCCCTGGCTGGCCTGGAACTTACTGTATAGATCAGGCTGGCCTCAGCCTCACAGAGATCCACCTGTCTTTGGCTCCTGGGATCAAAGGTGTGCGACACCACACCCGGCTAGAGTTTCTGTTTTAAGCAAGAGAGGTAAAAATATACATGTAGAGTCTTAATAAATGTGGGCCAGAGTATTGCTTGTGATTCAAATTAGTCCATACCCCAAGAGGGTAGGGTATTATGGGAAATGAGTCTTGGGAAGCGAGCCTAGTTTTGAGATCTCTGAATGCTGCTTATGATCATCGGTCTGACCTTGGCCCCATGCGGGAAGATGACACATGAGGTGCCACGCAGGCATGCCAAAGAAGAAGTTGGGAATGCAAGGGCACAGCCAGAGTAGAAGAGCAGGCTCTTGGATTGGGACGGACACCATGCACAGTGCAATGACAAAGAAACAAAAAAGGCTAAGGACAGACCCTCCTGGATACATGAAAAAAACTGAGTAGAAAAACGGCAGGAAATAGAAAGGTCCAGAGACTAGAAAGTATGTTTCCAGTCACTTGGAAGTCAAAATAGTGATCAACAGTAACAAATAGAGATAATCTGAGAAAAAGGTGAAGGTAGGGTTAAACAGAGTTCAGGTCAGAGCCTGAGCCTTGGCAGCACGAACAAACTGGGCTCTGCAATCCATTCTCAGTAAGCCAATTTAAAAGAACCAAATGAATAGTGAAAAACAAAAAAGGGAAGAGGAACAAAGAGGTCTAGTGACTTCTTTCCCTAAGTCCATCTTGGGGTCCGATGAGAAGTTTAAGTAACTAGCCAGAGTTATGCATAGCTAAGCAGTCCAATCAAGTTGTGGTCCTGCCCATCATTATATGGGCTCCAGCCTCTCCAGCAAGGTGGTCTGACAACTTGTCAGAACTGTGGGAAATCTCTTTCCTGGAAGCTTCTTGTGAAACCTTTTCCTTCTCCCAGTGTGAGATTCCTGGAGGAAATTCCAGTTCCTTGGGGTGCCTTGTTTCAGTCATCGGAGGCAAAGTGAAGGAGTATTTCTTTAGAATGTCCTCATTCCTTCCAGGCTTGCTGATTACAGCAAGACTGCCTTTTTGCTTTTTTTTTCTTTTGGCGGGTGGAGTCTTGCTATAAAGCCCAGGCTGGCTTTGGACTCCAGATCCTCCTGCTCATTCTCTGAGAGCTAGGAGTATAGGTGTGCATCACCTCACCTAGATCCACTGCTCATTTGAAATACATTGAAAAGTCAGATTGGGCCTGCTGCAAGATGAGCTGAGGACTTGAAAGGCACCAGATAGGCCTTTTATCAAGAGTCCAAAAGGCCAATGAGCATTTCTCACTAGCCAGGTGAAAGTCAGAAATGGTCAAAGGCATGAATGTTACTCTTGACAGTAAAGGCTCTTATCTGAAAGCTCTCCTAGCTGTGGTGGCGTACCCTGCCCCCATCCCTCTGGGAACTGGACTGAAGGTGAATGTGGGAATAGGAGAGCAGTATTAATTGGTGCTTGTGATCAGCTGGCCCCAGGGTGTCTTAGTCTGCTTCCTTCAGTGTATTATTGGCTGGAGTTCCATCAATCTTGTTAGAGATGGTTTGATATTCCTTCCCAAGAGACAGGTATTGGCAGGGATCCCCAGTTCCCTGATATGAATAGTTTAATCCAGTCCATCCCATCAAGATGACACTGTAAATTTATATTCTAAACACGTAGCAGTCATACATAGAAAGAATCCTAAAAACAGTCTTGCTCGTCCCACCTCCCCCAATCCTCACCACAGTCACAGGGGTTGAGCTGGTACCACCAGAGTAAGAACTGGCTCAGGAATACAAAGAGAGCAGACCTGAGGCCAGTCTGCTGGGCTCTGAGTCTGGAAACAAACTTGAGGTAACAGAGTACAGAACTCAGGAGCTGGAACAGTAAGCTGGAAAAAAGTTATTTTCAGGATGTTTACCTGGTAGACATAACCCTAAGCCAAGCTGCTGGGATAAGATAGGACCCCAAGCCAAGTGTGGTGGTGCACACCTTTAATCCACTTAGACTGAGGCAGGAGGATTGCTGGGAATTCGGGGCCAGGTTGGGCTACATAGTGAGTTCTAAGCAAGCCAAGGCTACATAGTGAGACCCTCTCTCAAAAAAAGGAAAGAAAGGGAAAGAAGAAAACCTGTAGAGGAAGGAACAGATCTATAACGCCAGTAGGGAGCACAGAAATTGACGGACTGGCCTCAGCAGGTAAAAGCACTTACTCCCAAGCCTGACAACCTGAGTTTGATCCCCAGAACCCACAGGGTGGAAGGAGAGAACTGACTTCTGAAAGTTGTCCTCTGACCTCCATACATGCACTACTGGCATGTGCACCTGCACACAGAAACACAAGGACATACTGGAGAAACAAAGGAATGCATCTAGTTATCGGTTGTGACTGCTTGACAAGCTCACCATCATTTTATAACAAGAATTCTCTTATTCTAGTGTAGCTGATTTACATGCACTGTTGAAACAAAGAAATCAGAACACAAGATCTTTAAATTAAAAAGTCATGTGCCTAAAACTCAGTGAGGTCCAATGGGGTTTGGCGGGGCATGAATGGTGGAGGGGGTCTAAATTTGATTGGGAACTGTCGTATGAAATGTACAAAAGCTCAGTAAAAAATTTTAAAAAATAAAATAAATGTTTTTTTAAAAAAAGTTTTTTAATTGACCCACTGAGCCAAGCATGTGGCATGTGCCCATTGTCCCAGGTGTTCAGGAAGCTGAATGAGAGAACTGCTTGCACCTAGGTGTTCAGGGCCACTTGGGCAACATAGGAAGATCCTGAAAGAAAGAAAGAAATTGTGTATGAAATTATTGCCAATATGATTTTTTGTAGAAGTAGCAGGATAACCCACAGTGACTTAACTATAGAAAGAGTTGAGGCTGGGATTGTAGTTCAGTGGCAAGGAGCCTGCTTGGTATACTGGAGGTCCTGGTTTCAATCTCAAACACTGCATACACAGAAAGTTGAATTAGCTGACAATGAGATGTGTGGAAATAAGAAGTCCAGGTCATGATAGTAGTCCATTATCAATACAGACCCTGTATCTTTCCTCTCTGCCATCTTCAGAGTGTAAGCTGTCTCACCTTATGGCTGCTGAAGCTCCAGACCTTGTATCATCACCCTGTGTCATCTTAAGTAGGAAGATGTGAGGCAAGAGATGGAAGCTTTCTCTTTATGTGCCTACTTTTGAAGAATTTCTCCAAGACAGCACTAAGATATGCTCTTGGTTTTTTTAACCCAAATTAGCTTATCCTTACCAAAAAAAAAAAAAAAAAAAAAAAAAAAAAAGAGAGAGAGACGCTAGCTATGGTTGGCTTTGATCAGCCTTGCTTCATCTCCTGGGACTGGGTCTTTAGCGTCCCAAATAAGTCAAGATTCTATTGTCAAGAAAAGAGAGACTGACTGCTAATGGGAAGCTAGCAGTGTCTGCCACAGATGGCAGAAATCCAGCATTTAATTGTGTGTGTGTGTGTGCACGCACGCACACACTGGGGTGAGGTGCCTGTGTGTGCTGGGTGTGTGTGTGTGTGTGTGCTAGGGGTGGGGTGCCTGTGTGTATGTGTGTGTGTGTGTGTGTGTGTGTGTGTGTGTGTATGTATGTATGTGCTAGGGGTAGGGTACCTGTGTGTGCTGGGTGTGTGTATGTGTATGTATGTACTAGGGATGGGTGGGTATGTGTGCTGGCTATGTGTGTATGTGGGGGGGGATAGGGTGTGTATTCGGGGAGTGAGGTACATGTGTGTGACTGTGTGTGCCAAAGGTGGGGCACATGTGTGTAAGTTGGAGAAAACCTCAGGATATTCTTCAGGAGCCATCCCCTTTAGTTTTTGAGATAGGGTCTTTCATTGCCCTGGAGCTCACTCAGTAGGCTAAGATGACTGAACAATGAGCTGTAGGAATCTGCCCTCCCCAGCACAGATTAACAAGGATTTACCACCATGCAGGTGGGTTCTTTCTTTCTTTTTTTTTTTGAGACAAGGTCTCCCTGTAGTCACAGCTGACCTGGAACTCACTATGTAGACCAGGCTGGCCTTGAACTCACAGAGATCCACCTGCCTCTGCCTCCCAAGTGCTAGGATTAAAGGCATGCGTCACCACGCCCGGCAAGGAATCTTTTGTTTATTTGTTTGTCTTTTAATGTGGGTTCTGGGGATCCAACTCAGGGTCATATGCTTACATACCAAGCAGTTTATTGACTAAGCTATCTCTATCTCCTCAGCCTCTAAGTTGGATTTTTAATTTTCTTTTTAAAGAAAGAAAAGCTGGGGCCGGAGAGATGACTTAGTGGTTAAGAGTCCTCTTGTAGAGGACCCAGGTTTGGTTCCCAGCACCCACATGGCAGCTAACAACCATCTATAACTCCAGTTCCAGGGAAATAGATGCCTCTTCTGACCTCTGCAGTCATGGCATGACATACATGCAAGCAAAACACACATATACATAAGATAAAAATAATTAAATCTTTAAAAGAAATGCAGAAAGCTAAATTTGTTAACTGCATTAATCAAAGAAGAATGGAGTAAAATAAAGTAGAAAATTTAATTGTTAAGTCACACTAAGTTTCTGTCATTTTCAAGAGAATTACACTATTGAAAAGCTAACAATTTAAAATGATCACTAAAAGAAGAGGAACATAAATTTTAAACCAGGAGAGAAAAAAGTGGTGGTGGTGGAGTGTGAAGAGAGAATGTGTTAATCCACTGAAAATTAGGAAAAGAAAGCTAAAAAAAAAATAATGGAGGAAACAGAAAGTAAGATAGTAACATATGAACAAATGAATAGGCATAATGGGCGGGCAATGGAGAGACAGACAAACCACCCAGGTGCGCTGGTGCATACCTGTAATCCCAGCCCTTCAGAAGGGAGGCAGAAGGATTGCTGCATATTTGAGGCTAGCTAAGGCTTACATAGTAAGACCCTTTTTCATAAAACGAAAACCAGGTCTGGAGAGATGTCTCAGCAGTTAAGAGGGCATACTGTTTGGGAGGACCCAGGCTCGATTCCCAGCACCCACACCAGTTGTCTCACAACTGCCTGTAACTCCAGCTCCACCGGGATCTGAAACCCTGGCTTCTGTGGGCACTGGCACTCATATGCACACATACACACCCCATGATTAAAAATAAAAATAAAATCTTAAAGAAAACAGCCCAAAAGGGAGGTAAAGAGATGGCTTAGCAATTAAGAGCTATTACTGTTCTTCCAGAGGACCCAAGTTTGGTTCCCAGCACCCACATCAGGCAACTTATAACCACCTGTAACTCTACATACTCACACATAGATAGACACATATACATAAATAATAAATATATCTTTTTAATATTTATTTTTATTTTATGAGTATGCATGTATTGCCTGCATGTAGGTAAGTGCATCATGTCGTGCAAGGCCCACAGAGAACAAAAGAGGCTGTCGGATCCCCTGGAACTGGAGTTACAGACAGTTGTTAGCTGCCATGTGGGTGCTGGGATTTGAACCCAGGTCTTCTGCAAGAACAGCCAGTGTTCTTAACCACTGAGCCATCTCTCCAGCCCCAAATAGTATTTTTTAAAAACAAAAACAAATACAGTATAGCATAGTGACATAAGAAGGCCGAGGGAGAAGAATGGTCAGTTCAAAGCCAGCCTGGGCTGTTTAAAAGACCTTGTCTTAAAAAACAAAACAAAACAACAACCCAACAACAGCTGGGCAGGCCTTTAATCCCAGCACTTGGGAGGCAGAGGCAGGTCTGATTTCCAGGACAGCTAGGACTACGGGGAGACCCTGTCTCTAAAAAGACCAGAAAGAAAACATAAAAACCCAACAACATGGAGGTTGGAGAAATAGCTGTTAAGAACATTTGCTGTTCTTGCAAAGGACCTACATAGTGGCCAACTATTCCTAATTCCAGTTCCAGGAGATCTGATGCCCTCTTCTGGCCTTCTCCGGCGTTGCCTACACATGGCGCACTTACATGCACACAAAACACATAAAATTAAATAAAATAAATAAATGAAAACAACAAAAGCCAGGAGTGGTAGTGCATACCTTTAAATCCTAGCTCTCAGAAAGTAGAGTCAGGTGGATTTCTGTGAGGTCGAGGCCAGCCTGGTCTACACAGGGAATTCCAGGCCAGCTAGGGCTACAGGGAAACCCCATCTCCAAAAAAAAAAAGAAGAAGAAGAAGAAGAAGGAGAAGGAGAAGGAGAAGGAGAAGAAGAAGGAGAAGGAGAAGGAGAAGGAGAAGGAGAAGGAGAAGGAGAAGGAGAAGGAGAAGGAGAAGGAGAAGGAGAAGAAGAAGAAGAAGAAGAAGAAGAAGAAGAAGAAGAAGAAGAAAACAAACAACAAGAAGAATCAGCAGGTAAAAATGCTTGCCACCAAGCCTCAACAACCTAAATCCCATCTCCAGGACCCACATGATGGAAGTCGAGATCCTGCAAATTGTCCTCTGACCTCCACACATGCGCTGTGGCACACACACATACGCACTCGCACACAAAACACAAACACACCACACTGCATATACAAACGATAATTAAAAAACAAGATACAGCCTTTTAGAAGCCTCTTGTGTTGAGGCCAGAGGATGACTTTGTAGAGTCAGTTCTTTCCTTCCACCTTTTCATGGGATCAAATTCAAGTCTCCATGCAAACATTTTTGCCCACTGAACCATCTAGCTGGCCCAAGTCTGTTTCTTTTTGTTCTAAAGTCCAGGGTGGCCTCATTCGTGATCATCCTGTCTCAACCTTCTGAGTGCTGAGATCACAAGTCGCCACCATACTTGACTAGAGGCCATTTTACTTCAGTTTGGTGACACTGGTCCTCTTGCAGTGAAATCCTGGTTTATTTTTAGATTTGAAGCATTGTGTTAACTTTTGCCTTCTGGTACTGGCTGCTAACTCCGGGAAGTATCAAAGGTAGCAGAGCCGAGAATTCAGACTAGAAATGAAGTCAAGATTAGGTGTCTGCAGGAGGCAGGACTAGAGAGGCCGAGGCTGCCCCAGGAGTTGTAAGGAGGGAGCAGCAAAGTCCCAAGTCACTAGGCTAGTGAGGTGTCTGCCAGAGGCTGGTGCAGAGTATTACAGCATGGTGACTTCAATTAACCAAGCCTCAGTGAAGTAACCAGTTCCTAGACTTTTCAAGAGTATGCCCTCCTGCATTTGAGTTTCAGGTAAGGAGCAGGCCCTGGGTCTCTTCTTCAAGATAATGATTGAGGGACTAGAGAGATGGCTCAGTGGTTAAGAGCTCATGCTGCTCTTTCAGAGGACCAGAGTTTGATTCCCAGCACTCACATCACATCAGGCTGCTCGCAGCAGCCTGTAACTCTAGCAGTGCACTCACATGCACGAATCCACACACAGACACACACATGTACACAAATTACAAATAATAAATATTTAAAAAGATGAGGGACTAGAGAGATGGCTCAGTGGTTAAGAGCACTGGATGCTCCTTCAGAGGACCCGGATTCATTTCCCAGCACCCACATGACAGCTGACAGCCATCCGTAGCTCAGGTTATGGGATCAGACTCCCTTTCTGTCTTTCGCAGGCATTGCACAACAGGGGTGCACTTACACACACACAGACAATACACATAAAATAAAAATAATAAATAGAATTTTTACAAAAGATAATGACTGAGCCCCCAGGGTACCTTTTGCCAAGGTTGGCTGCTGCCTTTCTCAAAGGGGGGAGTTTGCCCCCATGGTGGGTTGGCAGAGATTCAGGAATTTAGGGAATAGGGGGAACTTTTGGTAATGTACCCCAGTTCATAGGAAAAGCCTGTCTGGAAGGCTGGTGGAAGGAGCAGTGATCTTGGAGTATTACCTTCTGCCCAGCTGACCTGGTTCACCTAGTCCTAGGACTCTTGATTGGGAAGAGGAAATGAGAGGCCATCCCTAGATGTGCCTGAGGATTCATAGAGCATCATGCCATTTAAGGCTTAGTCTGTGGCTCCTGAGACGTACCCGCAGGCTGTGAGAATGGGTGGACAGAGCTGCTTCCTCAGTCTTGGCTCTGCTTTTTTCTTTCTCCCATCCCCCCAGGCAAGCAGCACCCATTCCCCATCCTCAGTGCCTTACTCTGACATTTCTTTTCTGTGCCTGCCAGGGAGGTTGTGTTCAGCTGTGCTATCCTGTTCTTCATTAGGTTAATTTGATGGCTGGTCTCCTGGGATCTGACCGAGCTGAGATCTAAAAAAGCCACCACAGCCTCCAAAATAACCCCTGATGCTCTCCTTCCCAGCAGCCTTTGCTCGTTAATCCATTGTGTCTGTTTTCCTTCCATGTTACTGTGCTGATGAGGGCCTCCTTTGGGCTTCCATTGTTTCCTTGTTCTGTGGCAGCCTGCTGACCATGACTGTGCATTCCCTGACTAGTGGAAGGCTCGGGGAAGAGGGGAGGTAGGTCCATCCACTCTTCAAGGCCTGACCTGCCTCAGCCTCCTGAGAGCTGAGATTGTTCCTTTATCCTGGTTGCTACTTCCTCTGTTCAGCCTCAGCAATATGCGATTGGCCAGTTCTGCAAATGGTCATTGTTATATGGTCCTGCCAGATTTACAAAATGTGTGACCTCAAACCTCTTATAAGGCCATAGCAATGGAAATGCTGGTCATGTTGGTTCATGCCTGCAATCCCACAATCCCAGCATTTAGAGGTCTGAGGCAAGAGGATTGCCACAAGTTCCAGGCCAGCTAGGCTATGTAGTGAGGTGCTGTCTCCAAAAAACAAAAACAAAAAACAAAGCTGGGCATGATGGTACATGCCTCTAATCCCAACACTTGGGAGGCAGAGGCAGGCAGACTCCGAGTTCAAGGCCAACCTGGTTTACAAAGCGAGTTCTAGGCCAGACCCTGTCTTAAAAAGACCAAAACAGGGGCTGGAGAGATGGCTCAGCGGTTAAGAGCACTGACTACTCCTGCAGAGGACCTGGGTTCAATTCCCAGCACCCACATGGCAGCTATAAACCATCCTTAACTCCAGTTCCAGGGACATCCGAAGTCCTCTTCTGACCTCCACGGCATTGCATGACATGGGTGCGCTCACTTACATGCAGGCAATACATTCATACATGTAAAAAAAATAATAAATAAGGTATTTTAAAATAATAATAATTTCTAAAACTCCAGTTTTTAAAACTGCCTAAAATAAAACACTAACTTTATTAGTTTGTACTGTTGAGTGGGAAAGATAAGAACTGTGTCCAGGGGCTGGTTAAAAGTACTAGCTGCTTTCCTAGAATACCTGAGTTCAGTTCCCACCACCCACATCAGGTAGCTCACAACTGCCTGTAACTCTAGCTCCAGGGGATCTGTTGCTCTCTTTTTGCCCCTGAGGCCACCTGAACAGACCCACAAGGTGTGTGCACACACGCACACAAACACACACGTAAATAATTTTTTTTTAATAGAACTGTGTCAACCGGGTGTGGTGGTGCATGCCTTTAATCCCAGCACTCAGGAGGCAGAGGCAGGCGGATCTCCCTGAGTTCAAGGCCAGCCTGGTCTACATAGTGAGTTCCAGGACAGCTGGGGCTACAAGGAGACCCTATCTCAAAAAGACCAAAAAAAAAAAAAGAACTGTGTCTTAATCCTTCTATCTGCACTTACCTAAGCCATTTTCCTGAAGAAACAAGTTGTCCAAACAGCTCATTTTATACCTAGAAACAATAAAAGCCATTTGTGAAACACCAGTTAAACCAACTATGAAGAGTTATAGCTGGGTCTATACTCATGGTGCAGGAAGCATCATCAGCTACATGTTCTCCCTTGTCTTGGATGGCCAATTGAAGTCCATGGCATAAACCCCCTAGAGAAACTGTGGAGGAAGGGAACAGACAGGATAAGTTTCTAGTAATTGAAATTGTTTGTTTTTTAGACAAGGTCTCACCATGTAGCTCTGACTGGCCTAGAACTCACTATGTAGATATGTAAACCAGGCTGGCCTCAAACTCAGAGGTAACCTGCAACCTACAGCCCAGAGTGACCTAGAATTCCTGATCCTCCTGCCTTTACCTTTCAAGTGCTGGGTCTACAGGCATGTGCCATCACACCCAGACCCCCACTTCTGACATTTTCTATGGGAATATTCATGAATCTTTTCTGAATAATCAAGCAGCAATGAAGGAGATCCCAATTGAGCCATGTAGAAAGAGGCTGGTCCTTTGTTTTGGCAAGGGAGGGGGCGAGGAATCTTTTTCAGACAGGGTCTCCCTGTAACCCCAACTGGCTTGGAAATGAGTATGTGGACCAGGCTGGCCTTGAACTCACAGAGATCTGCCTGCCTCTGCCTCTGCCTCTGGAATGCTGGGATTAAAGGTGTGTACCACTGTGCCCAGCTACAGGCTTCTTTCAGTAGGCTGATGTGGTTGTGCATTCCTTTGAGCCCCACACTCAGGAGGCAAAGGTAAGAGGATAGCTGTGAGTTTGAGAATAGCCTGTCTCAGAAAAAATAAAGCAGGCTTCTTTCAGTGCTCTGTCTCATCCCGGCCTTTGGGGACAGGACTGACCTCCAAGCTCCCTGCCACTCACCAGGGCCTGGCCTTCAGCAAGCACTTTCAGCTTATGACTCACTGTGTAGAACAGGAACTCACAGAGCTCCATCTGCTTCTGCCTCCCAAGTGTACCACCATGCCTGGCTGCAAGTGTTTCCCAGCTCCAGAATGTCTTTTCTATAGTTCCATTCTCTGATGACTTCAGGGTTTGGCTTAGCCGTAGAAATTTAAGACACTGGGAATGGAAGAGGCAGTTCTTTTTTGGTTTTTGTTTTTAAAATTATTATTGTCTATGTATGATGGAGGTGGGGGCCACACGTGCCACAGCATGCATGTAGAGGTTAGAGAACAACTTTGTAGAGTCAGTTCTCTTCTGCCTTTGTATGGGTTCTGGGGATTGAGCTCAGGTCATCAGGCTTGTGCAAGCGCTTTACCCACTGAGTCATCTCATTGGCTCCTTTGGTTTTTTTGTTTTTTGAGACCGAACCTTAGGTCTCATGTAGCCCAGGCTGGCCTCCTAGTTGCTATGTACCTTTCAAATCCTTATCTTTCTGCTGCTACCTCCCAAGTGCTAGGATTGAAGATGAGCTGCCAGCTGGGTTGGTTTTGGTTTTGGTTTTTTTTCAGCACTGACCTAAAGACTTCCTATAGCTGCCAACAGCAGCCAGAGGACCCTGGAATATCTGGCTGGAACTTTCAAAAAGGAAAGGGAAGGGGGCAGGACTGCAAGACCCAGGGGTCATGTCGGAACATATTCAGACTGGCTGAAGTGAAAGAACTGGTTTAGGAGATTCCCTTAGCATAGATTCAAGCTCCTTCCCTCAGGCCAGTGCTCAAACAGCTCTGCAAGTGGCCTCTTGTCCCTGTTCTTGTCTGCTAGGATAGCATGGGGCCTCAGGCTGTCAGCGCTACCAGGAACCCTGGCGTCCATTTTGTCCATGACATTCAGATGAAGACAACTGCCTAGGGAGCTAATTGCTGGTGGTTCAGAACCCAGGAACTCTCCTACCTCCTGACATGTTTTCTCCTACATCGGAGCAGGAAGGCTTGTCCATGGTTCACTGAACTGAGCAGAAATGCTGCCTCTACAATCCATCTGGATCTGCAATGAGGGACAAGTCCCAGGTCAGCACTGCAAGTCCCGATAGTGCTGTGTGGCTATGTCATTATTTACAGACCTTAGTAGGATCTTCTCTGGGGAAATTTCCCTTTAAGTTTACCTGAAAGTAACTAGACAAAGCTGGACAAGGCTTTCTAAACCAAGTGCTTCAGCCACTTGCCATTGGACTCTGGGGAAATTAGCCAACTCCTTGTTTATTCTCTGGCTAATAAGTAGAGGTGCTGCACTGATCTAGTCTTCTGAGGCTAGGAGTTATGCAAAGTGATACTGTCTGGGAATGATTTGAGGAGAGAGCCCACCCTTTTGTTAAGAGGAGTCTCCTTTACTGCTAGCTCTTTCCCCTTTGGGACCAAGGATGGGGCTTAGGGAGAGCGTGTGTGTGTGTGTGTGTGTCTGTTTCATGGTCCTGCTGCCTATCAGAATGCACATTCTTTTTCTTCTCTGCAATTTCAGGGTCATGCTGTGGCAGCCTGGTGCCTGACAAGTGAGGGAAAACCTGCCTGGGGATTATTGCCAGCTGGAGTCAACAGCAGGACAGCCTTTCCTCAGGGGAGCAGGGATGGGCCGACCAGCTGCCCAATGCACCCCAACAGGTCCAGGAAGGAGTCCTGGGCTCTGGTGAAGAACTCCATACAAGCGCTGCTAACCCACATGGCTTAGATGCAGCACTCCACTGAGCAGCAGCTATTTCCAGCCCTAGAAGACCCCACAGCAGGAGTAGGTGCTTTGTGAACCCCCACCCCCATTCAACTGCAGCTGGGGTGGTGACCACCAGGAGGAAGGACCAGCACCTTGGATGGGAAGCAGTAGGACAGAAGAACAGAAGAGGATCTTGGTTTTTGCAGCAGTTTCCTGATACCCAAGGAGCTTCTTAATCTCCTTTCTGGCCTGGGGCCAGACTCCTTTTCTCTGGCTGAAGGGTTGGGCCAGTAAGACCAGCCAGGGTAGAAAGGGAGGACTCTTGCATGGAATGCAGGCCCCCTGAAGTCCGTGTCCTCTCTGCTGTGATCAGAGTTCCAGGGCTTCCCCACTGCAGGGGACGAGGGGCCGCCTCAGTGTCTGCTCATGAGCCACAAGGACTCCGACTGCTCCAGACTGTACCTTTTCAAGCCGCCAAAGAGGGGGACCCCTGGAGCTGGCAGCCAGCAAGGGACTAGAGGGCTGGGATGGACTGACCTCCCCCTCACCAGGGTGGCAGGAGAGGCAGAGCCTTTGTGGCCCAGCTAGTGACTGAGAGACCCGATAAAGGCCTAAGCAGGGTCCTCAGTGGCTCAGGGAAGGGGAACTACTCCTGCCTTTGTGCTTTCACCTTTCATTGAGGGAGGGTGTGGCGAGGGTCCCCTGCCGCAGCACGTGCCCTTATGCCCTTTACGCGTGCTGTCCAAACAAACAGGCTGCACTGTGGCTGGCCCCATAGTGGGCTGGGAAAGGAGCGGCCACGGTGACAGCTGCCCCGTGGCCAGCACAATGAAGTGCTCCCTGCGTGTGTGGTTCCTCTCTGTGGCCTTCCTGCTGGTCTTCATCATGTCCTTGCTCTTTACCTACTCACACCATAGCATGGCCACTTTGCCCTACCTGGACTCAGGGGCCCTGGGTGGAACGCACCGGGTCAAGCTGGTGCCGGGCTACACAGGCCTCCAGCGTCTTGGCAAGGAAGGGCTTTCAGGAAAGAGTTGTGCCTGCCGACGCTGCATGGGTGACACTGGAGCCTCTGATTGGTTTGACAGCCACTTTGACAGCAACATCTCGCCCGTCTGGACCAGAGATAACATGGATCTCCCCCCGGATGTCCAGAGGTGGTGGATGGTAAGAGCTGTGGCCCCTTCCTTCTTCCTTTTTGCTGCCTGCTTTCCAGAGATTGGTCCTCCTTGTTTAGGAGTCACTCATACTCCTACAGCCCCTCTTGAACTTAGCTGGCTATCTTATGACTCCCAACAACTGGACAAAGTGGGAGGCCCATTTGATCAGAGATCAGGATCACAAACTGCTGACAGGCAGAATGAGCTTTGATCTGGAAGGAGAGGAACTATTTATGGTGCTTGTAGGAACCCAACATAGACTAAAAATGCCTGTTGGCCCAGGCAGGCAGCACAGATAGCAAGAACTGTCCGGAGTAAGAAAATGGGACCTAAAGGCCAAGCCATAGATAGATGTCTGCCTGTTAGCAAAAGTGAGCCATCGTGCAGCTGCAACAAGTGCCATGCAGGATGAGACTCAGCTATTGCCTCCTCCAGCCTCTTTTAAAAAAAAATTATGTAGCCAGGCATAGTGGCACATGCCTTTAATCCCAGCACTTGAGAAGTAGAGGCAGGTGGATCTCTGTGAGTTCAAGCCCAGCCTGGTCTACATAGTGAGTTCCAGGACAGCTGGGGCTACAGGGAGACCTTGTCTCAAAAAAGACCAAAAAAAAAATTTTTATGTGTATTTTATTTGTATGATTCTGCATGTATGTAAGTGTACCATATGCATGCAGTGCCAATAGATACCAGAAGGGGGCATCAGATCCCCTGGAACTGGAGTTAAGGGATGGTTGTTAGCCACCATGTGGGTGCTGGGAATGGAACCTGAGTCCTCTGCAAGAGCAGGCAGTACCAGTGCTGAGCTGTCTTCTCCAGGTCTCAACCTCTTTTTTTAAAAAAAGATTTCTTATATTTTATTATTGTGTGTGTACATATATGATGTTGAGGGGGACATATGGGGTGAGAAGACAACTTTGTTCTCTCCTTCCATCTTTACATGGGTTCCAGGGATTGAATTCTGGTAGCCAGGCTTGCATAGCAAGCACCTTTACTCACTGAGCCATCTCACTGGCCCTCTTCCAACCTCTTAGCAGATCCCAGAAAACTAGATTTGTGTGCTTGTGTGTATGTATGTGTATACATGTGTGTGCACATTATGCATGTGGAAGGCAAACTTTGATGTGAGATATCATCTCACCCTGTCACTCTTCACTCTTCACTTGGGACTCATTTATGTAGCAAGGCCAAATAGCCAATGAGCTTCCAGAGATCTTCCAGTCTCCACAGTGCTAGCACTAGTGTAGAAATGTACCACCGTGCCTGGCTTTTACATGGGTGCTGGGATCTGAACTCAGTTTCTTATATTTGTGTGATAGCACTTTCACTGAGCTATCTCCCTGATCCAGAAATTTAGATTTTTAGACCTCGTAAATGTTAGCTCAAAGTAATTACAAAGACTTTGAGAATAATTCTTGGGTCTTTACAGCTGCTGGAAAAGAGTGCTTTGGGCTGGAGTAAATCATTGTAAACTACCTCTAGAGGCTAAGGGAGAAATGGGGGAATCAGGGGCCTACAGCAGGTCCATCCCTGTTTTTCTGGGCCCCAGGATCTTTTTGTTTTTAATGTCTTCCACCTCACCCACATCATCTCTGGAGCATCATTCCTCAGATTCTACAGGGCCATCTGGTTGGCTCCTGGGCCAAAAGGTACCTGCAGGCTGCCTGCCTTCCCTGGTCTCAGGAGACAGTTCCTGGTCCTGTTCCTCTAGCCAGCACAGGACCAAGATGGCTCTGCTTTCTCTCATGTTCAGAGAGATGATGAGGATGTGTGGACCAGGGTTATTGAGACAACTCCCCAGTACCTGTCTGTTGATCCAAACTGTTGAGTCCCTCAAGACAAAGGTTTATAGAGCAGAGGTCTCTAGGAAGGTGTTCCATAGGCCCTTCTAGCAGCCTGGAAGGCACTTATGTATTGCTCAGAGGTATAGCCTTTGTTTTATAGAGAAAATCAAGGTTCGGAGAGCATCCAGGGTCTGCCTGCCATCAGAGTCTTAGCAGTAGCGTTAGAGAGCTAGACCAGATTCTGTGCAGGAATGGATTCCCAAGGGATAAGACAGCCCTTCTGCCTATAGGAATGGAGGCTATTTAAGTACTGTGTTCCTCAGCCCACGGTTTCCTGTTCCCCCCAGGAACCCCTTTTTGTCATAAGGTTGGGAATTCTTGTCTCAAAGCCAGGCTTCCTCTCCAGGAAAGGATGTGTGTCCACAGACCATATCGCTATGGGGTTATGTAGTCCTCAGCATTTGTTGAAGTCTGAGGATCAAACCCCAGGCCTCATGCACACTAGGCAGTCACTCAGCTACAGATTCTTACTTTATAGCCCAGACTGCTCTCAGACTCACTGTGTAATCCAGGCTGGCCTCAAACTCAGAGCAGTCCTTCAGCCTCAGTCTCCCAGGTGCTGGGATTATGGGTATGAACCAACTCATCTGTTTTTTGTTTTGTTTTGTTTCTTTCCTTTGCCTTTTTTTTTTTTTTAAATAAATTCACCGTGCAGCCTGACTAGCCTAGAACTTGCTATGTAGACCAAGTTGGTCTTGTATTTATGGTAATCCTCCTTCCTTGGTCTCCTGAGTGCTAGGATTATAGGTGTGTTCCCTTACACTTGGCTTGTGTTTTTGTTTTTGTTTTTTCTCAGAAGGAAGCCAATAAGACTGTTTTCACACTCTTATTCGGGTGCTATGTCCAGAACAGTTTTTTTGACATAGGGTTTCACTGTGTATCTCAGGCTGGCCTCTAATTTTCAGTCCTCTGGCCTCAGCCTCCTAAAAGTCCATAGCATTTTAAATTTTTAGTTTCAGTATTACCAGTTGATCCATGGGACAAAGTCCAGCCCACTAAGAGTTCTTTGAAATATTTACACAGGACTGGAGAGATGGCTCAGCAGTTAAAAGCACTTGTTTTTGCTCTTCCAGAGAACTAGAGTTCAATTTGTAGTACCTGCATCAGGCAGCTCACAACCACCAGTAACTCCAGCTCTTGGGGATCCATTGCCTCTGGCCACAGCAGGCACCTGGACTCACATGCACATACGGACACACATATATACATATATTTTTTAAAAAGAGGAGGGCCGGGCTTTGTGATGGTGTTTTTAATCCCAGCACTCGGGAGGTAGAAAGGCAGGCAGATTGCTATGAGTTCAAGCCAGCCAGGGCTACATAGTGAGACCCTGTCTCAAAAAAAAAAAAAAATTTACATGACTTACCAATATTTGAAATTCAGAGTATTTCATGTGAGATCTGTATTTTCAGTTTAGGGAACTTGGGAAATTTTTTCCATGTGTCAACAGTTGGCTGAATTTACTTTTTAAAATTTTTCTTCATTAAATTTTTTATTTATTTGTATATATGTATGAATGTATGAGGGCATTTGTATTCCATGGCACATGTGTGGAGGTCAGAACACAACTTGTTGGAGTTGGCTCTGTCCCTCTACCATGTGGGTCCTAGGCCCTGAACTCAGGTTACCTGATGAGCCATCTAGCTGGCCCATGGATTTGCCTTTTTTTGACAGGCATGTATCTTTTGTTTGCTGTGGGCCCCACCTCCTCCTATACTCCTACGTGTCACCTACCTGGCCCTACTGAGCATTGAACTATTGCTAGGTGTGGTGATGCATACCTGTAATCCTAGCACTCAGGAGGCTGAGGCAGGAGGATCACTGCTATTCAAGACCAGCCTTTGTTACGTAGTGACCTCAAGGCCAGCCTGGACTACATACTGAAACCCTGTCTCAAACAAAACCCAACACTTTGGAGGTGGTGACAGGAGGATCAGCTACATGGAGCCTTTGACCATCAGCAATTGGGAGTCATCCAGCTGTTGGTAAGGGGTGTAGGAGGCCAGTTTTATTCTAGTCATCTGGATTTGAAATAATTCATGCACCCCTCTACCCTTCACACCGAGCTCCAGATGATTCCTATGGGTGCCCCCTGTGAACTGATTGGGAAAGAGCCCTGAATGAAGTTGCTTTTCTCTATGGCCCAGGCCTACAGGCCCCTCCAGAAAGCCTTGAATAGCATCTTGACCGCCTCCCCACAAGCCTCTCCAGGGCACTGGAGGAGCAGCCCATGATTGGCAGAGCACAGGGCACTTGTCTCTGAACAGTGAGACTCACTGGGAAAGAAGACTTTGCTACTGCTGAGAGATGGGCAGGTCCTTACTGCTTGAAGAGGCAGCGCCTAGACAGCCCTGGACAGAAGTGTGTGTGGCTCTGACTAGAGGGGAGGCTGTGGAGGGGTGATAGAGTTTCTCCATCCTCACAGCCCTCTCCCTCACCCAGATGCTGCAACCCCAATTCAAGTCACACAACACCAATGAGGTGCTGGAGAAGCTGTTCCAGATCGTGCCTGGTGAGAACCCCTACCGCTTCCGGGACCCGCACCAGTGCCGTCGCTGTGCTGTAGTGGGGAACTCAGGCAACCTTCGGGGCTCTGGCTATGGGCAGGATGTGGACGGGCACAACTTCATCATGAGGTGAGCTCCTTAAGAACCAGGGTGGTATATGGGGAAGACAAGCATCCAGGAGGGCTCCCTGTCTCTTTGGCCTTTTGGGGCAGGGACAGGGGTAAATGTGCTACAGTTTGCAGGATTCAGTTCTCTCCCTTCACCATGTGGGAACTGAAATCAGGTTGGCAGAGTTGGTGGCAAGCACCTTTACCTGCTGAGCCATCCTGCCAAACTTCCGTGGCCTTTTCAGGTAAGGGTGCAAGTATTAGAGGCTACAGTAACAGGTTTGTGCACTCTCTTTCTCTCTCTCTCTCTCTCTCTCTCTCTCTCTCTCTCTCTGGTTTGTGTAGAGGGGGTGTGGAGGCAGCATTCAAAATATAAATTTTGGGGGCTAGAGATGTAATTCAGTTAGTTTGAGTGCCTGCCTAGCATGGAGCCTGGAGGCTAAGGCAGAAGGATCCCAAGTGGAAGGTTAGCCTCAGCCACATTGTGAGACCCTGGCTTTAAAAAAAAAACTCAGAGCCAGGCATAATGACACACACTTTTAATTCCAGCACTCAGAAGGCAGGAGTAGGTGAATTTCTTGAGTTTCAAGCCCAGCCTGAGAGTTTCTAAGCCAACTAAGGCTACCTAGTAAGACCTTGTCTTTAAAAAAAAAAAAAATCCTGGGGCTGGAGAGATGGCTCAGTGGTTAAGAACACTGGTTGTTCTTGCAGAAGACCCAGGTTCAAATCCCAGCACCCACATGGCAGCTAACAACTGTCTGTAACTTCAGTCCCAGGGGATCCGACAGCCTCTTTCTTACCTACATGGGCATTGCACAACATGGCTGCACTTACCTACATGCAGGCAATACACACATACATATAAAATAAAAATAATAAATGAAAATTTTTAAAATATCTTAAGCTGGAATGTAGCACAGTTGGTAGACTGCTTGCCTAGGATTCACAAGGGTCTAAGTTCAGTTCCCAGCACTGCATAAGCCAGGCATGATGGTGTACACCTGTAATCCCAGGACTTGGGAGGCAGAAACAGAAGGATCAGAAGTTCAAGATCATCCTCAGCTGCCTAGCAAATTCAAAGTCAGCCTGGGATAGGAGACCCTGTCTCAAAAATAAGTACATAGGGCTGAGGAGATGGCTCAACATGAGCATGAGGACCTGAGTTCAGATCCCTCACACTCACATAACAGCTGAGTTAAGCAGAACATACCTATAACCTCAGTGCTGGTACTATGGAGGCAGGTAGATCCCAGGGGCTTGATGGCCAACCAGTCTAGCCAAAATGATGAGTCTAAGGTTCAGGAAGAAATCCTGTTTCAAATAATGAGGGGGCTGGGGAGATGGCTTAGTGGATAAAAGCACTTGTGCAACCCAGGCAGCCTGAGTTTGGATCCCCAGAACCCATATAAAAGCCAGACACAGTAGCACAAGCTTCTGTAATCCCCAGCATGTCCCTTGAGGGAAATGGGAGGAAGAGATAGGAGAGTCTCAAGAAGCTAGAGCACCAGCTAGCCTGGCTAACTAACACAGTGGCAAAGAGATCCTGTCTCATTGGGGTCTAGATGGCTCAGCCATTAAAGCACTGTCTGTTCTTGCAGAAGACCTGGGTTTAATTCCCCACACCCACATGGTAGCCAACAATTGTCTCCAGTTCCAAGGATATCCAATGCCTTCTTCTGACATCCATGGGCATTACATGACATGGATGCACTCACACACAGGCAATACACTCATATGCAAAAAAAATAAATACTTAATAAATAAATTTTGTGGGGGATGGGGGGTTAAGACAGGGTCTCCCTGTAGCCTCAGCTGGCCTGAAACTTCCTATGTAGACCAGGTTGGCCTTGAACTCACAGAAGTCTACCTGCTTCTGCCTCCCAAGTGCTGGGATTTAAGGCATGTGCCCAGCAATAAAATTTTTTTTATTATTTTACTTATTATTTTTATTTTATGTATATGAGTGTATTGTCTGCATGTATGTGAGTGCACCCATGTCATGCAATGCCACGGAGGTCAGAAGAGGGCTTCAGATTCCCCTGGAACTGGAGTTAAGGATGGTTCATAGCCACCATGTGGGTGCTAGGAATTGAACCCAGGTCCTCTGCAAGAGCAGTCAGTGCTCTTAACCACTGAGCCATCTCTCCAGCCCCAATAAAAATATTTTTAAAAAGAGCTCCTGTCTCAGACAAGGTGGAAAGATGAGAACTGACATCTAAAGCCGTCCTCTGTCAACATATACACCACGGCATGTGGGCACCCACACCCACACACATGAATAGGTACTCACATGCACACACATTGCACACACACATACATAAAATAAATAAGGTGGGAAGCAATAGAGGAAGACCCCCGTTGTCACCCTTTAGCTGCCACATGCACAGGTGAGTGCATCTGCACATGTACATACACACATACACACAAATGAATAAATAATATACCAAAAATTCCAGGTTTTTGTTAAACATCTCTTAGGATGAGCATTGCAGAAAGACCAGGTTTCCCAGGAGGCAGAAGGCCTTTGTCTTAGAAATTGTTGCTGTCTCCATAGCAACACTAAAGCAGCAATATGTCTCTGAGGCTTTCCATGTTCCTTGCAAGATTTTCTTCATGTTGGGAGATAGTGATGGGAGGGGAAGATAGGAGGATACTGAATTCCACTCAGCACTCCAGAGCCATCCAGATTACCCTCCTTTTCCAGTTGCTGGCACCTTAAAGGTAGGGAAGATGGGAGCTGGTTGAAAGAACTCCTCTACTGGGAGAAGGTGACTGAGATTAGGAAACAAGGCTTCCATTGTTCCAGGTCAGCCCACAGTCCTTGGAAAGCCTAAGGAGACTCTCAAGATGCATGGGTACCTGCCTCTCCAGTCAACTCTTTTCTTTAGGTTCCTTGGTGATGGTTAGGAAGCTCCAGGGTCAAAGTCCTGCAGACCCAAAAGCCATGACTGCTTATGACATGAAGGTGGTCTTGGTCAAGCCTAGCTGTAGATACAGTTACAGATGCTCCAGCACAGCAACCAGGATCAAGATGCTGTGTTTGGAGTGGGTCCCAGAATTGCTTTGTGGAAAAGGTGATCCATATGGTATTTGGCTCTCTATGGGCTGTATAAAGAGCCAGATGTGGTGGAGGTGTCTGCCTAGAGGCCTGCCTTGATTTGAAACTAACAAGGGAGGCCTCCCATCCCAGAATCAGGGAAAGCCACACTGAGTTACAGTGAGATGATGGCCCTAACCATCTAAGATGATGCTTAGAGCCTAAGCACTTTGGCTCTTTTATACTAGCCTCCTCTGTGTCCCCTCACTCCTAGCTGTAAATCCTCCCATCTCAGCTGATGACCCCAACTGAAACTGATCTTGTTCCACCTCATCTGAGCAGAGATACATCCACAACTCCTCAAATTATCTAGCAGTAGAAGGCATGCTGTAAACATGAGTGAAAGAGACTAGACAGCCAGGCACTGGGCCCCCATGTAGTGTACATCTACCCTGCCCAATCTTCTTTGACTGGTGAAGGCATCTGGGGACAGATAAGTTTCTGGAATGCATGGCTCCATGTCCTAGAGACTCATTCATCTCCTGGCACCTTTTCAAGACTTGGCTTCTCTAGAATGAATCAGAGCCTCCAGAAGAATGCCACATTTCTTCCCTTCCTTGTAGAAGCTATGAAACATATTTCGGACCTCTTGTGCTTTAATTCTCAGACCCTTGCTGGCTAGGGCCTGGCAGTGGGTGGAAGGGGAGTGAAAGAGCAGGGCTGCCTGAGGGGTGGGAAGCAGACAGCCCTGCCGCCAGGTCTGAGTAGAGACTATCTGAGCTCTCTGGCTGCTGGTACAGTGGAAGAGGCAGGCAGTGGGTCTGCAGACACCAACCTGGGGCAGCCACAGCCTTTTTTTCTTAAACCATTATACAAAATAATGGGCTTTTTGCCCGCCATGGAGTCGCACACCTTTAATCCCAGCACTCAGGAGGCAGAGACAGATGGATCTCTGTGAGATGGAGACCACCTTGGTCTCTTTAGCAAGTCCAGGCCAGCTGGGGCTACAGGGAAACCCTTTTTCAAAAAAGGAAAAAAAAAAAAAAAAAAAAAAAAGTGGGGAGGCCTTCATTTTCATACATGTATATCATCTTTTTGCTCCTTTATATTCTTTTTATTTTTTGAAAGATTATTTATTTTTAGACAGGGTCTCATTGTGCAGCTCTGCCTGGCCTGAAACTCACTATGTAGACCAAGCTGGCCTTGAATTCACAGAAATCCACCTGCCTCTGCCTTCTAAGTGCTGAAATTAAAGGTGTGAGCCACCACACCCAACTGAAAGATTTGGGAAGGGGGCACGGAGTTGTATGTACACATGAGTGCAAGTGCCTTCAGAGGCCAGAGACATCTGATACCCCTGGAGCTGGTATAGGTGATTGTGAGTTGCCCAGTTAAGGTGGTAGAAATCTAATTCAGGTCCTCTGCTACAGCAATATGCGCTCTTAACCACTAAGCTACTTCTTCAGCCCCATATTTTGTGCATATGTGTGTGGGGGGTGTGGTTTATGCTTGTATTTGTGGCCTCCTGAGGCCAGAGGAATCTGATTGCCTGGAACTGGAGTTACAGGTGATTTTGGGCCACCTGATTTGGGTGCTGGGAACTGAACTCAGGTCCTCTGGAGGAGCAGTACTACTGAGCCATCTCTCCAGCACCTATGTATATCACTTGTTTTGACCATCCCCCTCACTGCCCTCTCTTGACCCTCTTTCCCCTCCCGCTGGTCTTCCTGTTCCCAAATAGTTTTCTTTCTACTTTCAAGTCTTAATTTTTTTTCTTTTTCAAATATTTTATTGTTATTTTTTTGTGTATGAGAGTGAGTGTATTGCCTGCATGTGTGTAAGTGCACCTGTGTTTTGCAGTGCTTGCAGAGGTCAAAAGAGGGTGTCAAATTCCCCCCTGGAACTGGAGTTAGGGACAGTTGTTAGCCACCATGTGGGTGCTGGGAATTGAACCTGGGTCCTCTGCAAGAGCAGCCAGTGCTCTAAACTACTGAGCCATCTCTCTAATCCCATGTCTTCATTTTTAACCTAGGTAGCCTTTTAGCCTGCAAGGCTGGTTTGATCTGTCTCTCTAGTGAGATGAAGTTTGCTTCTTTGACATAAACCTGAATACCAGCTCCTGCCCAGACCAATGCCACCAACCCAGTTCTTCCATGGCCTGCTTGCTCTTTCCAGCCACAGGCAGGTTTCCCTACCTGCTCTGCCACCATCCTATTACAGGGTACAGAGCAGGAAGAAGAGAGCATAGGTACCCCATCACCACGGGAAGTCTAATGGTGCCAGCCACCTTGACAGGAAATGTTTATACTAGTTTTATAGAGCTCGCATAAAAACTGGGGATGTACTTGGAGTGCTCCTTCCCTCCCAGGTCTCTGTGCCATAGTGAAGGACCAGGTTACTGTCACATTTCTGTGGTAATCATGATTCTGCAAGGGATAAGGAGATAAGTATGTCCTCATAAACAGGCACAGTAAAAAACAAGACCAGCAGGCTTGTATTTCAAGCTATTTCAACTCTGAGGTAAGACATTCACCAGAAAAGGGAGCCTTAGCTGGGCATAGTGGTATTCATAGTGGTATTCAGCACTTGGGAGATGGACTTCAGCTTCAGCTACATAGTGACTTTGAGGCCAGCCTGGGGCACATGAGACTGTCTCAGAAAGAGCAACAACAAGAAAAAACAAAAACAAAAACAAAACAAAGGGGCCTGTGAGATAGCTCAGAGAGTAAAGGTGCCTGCTGCCAAGGCTGGAGATCCATGGTAGAAGGAGAGAACCAACTCCCAAAAGTTGTCCTCTAATCTCTACATGTGTGCTGTGGCATGCATATGTGCACACACACACCACAAAAACAAATAAATAAGTAATTAAAGCTTTTCAAAAGAAGAACAAAGGAAGTGGATTCCTGCCACTGGAATTTTTCACTGAATAGCTCTTGGATTTTTTTGTTACCAGCATTTAAAATTAGGCTGGATGTGGTGGCACACACCTTTAATCCCAGCAGCTGGGAGGCAGAGGCAGAATGAGCTCTGTGAGATGAGATTGAGGTCGAGGCCAGCGGGGGCTACAGGGAGACCTTGTCTCAAACAAGAAAAAACAAAAACAAAACAAAACAAAACCCCAGCATTTAAAGCTTACTCCATTCTGATACCTGCATGGTATTCACGTATATGAACATGCATGCAAAATTTTATACTCTGGGATCCACAAATGCCCCAAACAGACAAAAAGAAAGGTGAGAAAAGAAAGATTTATTAAGGCTGGGCTACATTCTTCCGTAGAGCCCCGAGCCTAAGCACTTTGGCTCTTTTATACTAAACTCGCTACTGGGCAAGCAAGCAGAATACAGAAGCTAATCATTGAATGTTAAGCTTGAGGAAATATTACCAAGGAAATACATAAGAAAATGCAATTAAATCCCCCATCTGCATGGAACTAGCATCCTCCTCTTTCATAAATTGACATTATCAATCTTATTGTTTACATTGCCTTTACTGGTCACAAAGTTCTCTCTAGGGAGGTTTTATTGTATAGCAGTTTTATCTTAGGAACCTTTAAATGTTGTGGGACTCTTTTTGTATAGAGAAACTATAACCAGGAGTGAAAAGTTTAAGTTCCCAAGTGTACAGGTGGAGAATCCCCTTAATAATTTCTATTCTATTAACCAAAAATTACTATTTTGCAGAAGCAAGCCAAGCATAACCTACAGAAGTCATATATCAGCAGTTAGCAGGAGCACTCTAGGACATTCTGACCTGTTCCCAAGACAACCAGGGTCCAGCTTGCATGTGTTCCCATATCCTGGGCCAACTGCCTGATAATTTCAGAAATCGGAGTCAGCCTAAACTTTAACATGGTGTAGCTATGGTCAAGAAGGTGCCTATTACAGATGTACTGACTAGTTCTTGGATGAACTGAACAGTTTTAGTGTTTTACACTTAGCATCTATTTCTGTAGCATAAACATATAGAAGTAGAATTGGTCAGAATGTACATCATTTTATTTATTTATTTATTTTTTTTGGTCTTTTTCAGACAGGGTCTCCCTGTAGCCCCAGCTGTCCTGGAACTCACTATGTAGACCAGGCTGGCCTTGAACTCACAGAGACCCCCCTGCCTCTGCCTCTGAGTGCTGGGATTAAAGGCATGTGCCACCACATCTAGCGATCATTTTAATTTTTAAATTTTTTCAGACAAGGTGTTGCTCTGTAGCCCAAGCTAGCCTGAAATTCACTATGTAGCCAAGATTGGCCTCCAACTTGCTTCTTGAATGCTGGGACTGTTGGTATGAGCCACCATGCCCAGCTTCCATTTTCACTGTAATGGAGAATGCCAAATTATCCTCTAAAAATCTTGTACCAGTTTCCATGGTCGTTCCTTCTCACATCAACCTCTTTTTCTGCAGGATGAATCAGGCACCAACTGTGGGCTTTGAGCAGGATGTTGGCAGCCGAACCACCCACCATTTTATGTATCCTGAGAGTGCCAAGAACTTGCCTGCCAATGTCAGCTTCGTGTTGGTGCCCTTCAAAGCTCTGGACCTACTGTGGATTGCCAGTGCCCTCTCCACAGGGCAGATCCGATTGTGAGCCTCTTTGCTTGCTGAATAGAATATGGGTGACAGGACCTCCTTGGGATGACTCTCCCTATGTACAGATCGTGGAATTCCTTTAATTGAATATTTTGGCCAAGGGACACTAGAGAGGAAGGAGGGTTCAAAATGGAAGGTTAGCTTAAGGCATAGCTTAATTTGTGTCATTTCCTACATGGTACCACCTGGTGTACTAGTGGCAAAATAGGATGAGCATACACACTGGGTTTGGTTTCTCCAGGAGGCAGCTCCAGACTGTGGAACTCTTTTTTTCTAAGACCTTTCTTTGGGATAGCTCTTCCATCACAGTAAGGAACTATTCATGAAGGTTTTTTGGTTTTACTTTTTTAAAGACAGGTCTCACTATGCAGCCCTGGCTGGACTGGAACTCACTATGTAGACCAGACTGACCTTGAACTCACAGAGATCTGCCTGCCTCTGCCTCCCAAGTGTTAGAATTAAAGGCATGCATGACCACATCTGGCTCCATATTGTTGTTTTGTCTTTTTGAGACAGATCTCCCTGTAGCCCCAGCTGTCCTCACTATGTAGACCAGGCTGGCCTTGAACTCACAGAGATCTGCCTGCCTCTGCCTACTAAGTGCTGGGATTAAAGGCATGTGCCTCAACACCCAGCCATATTTTTATTTTTTAATACCATGTGGGTTTTTTATTTTTAATAAGAAAAATAAGTTGCAGTTTCTGGGCTGTGGATATAGCTTAGTTGGTTCCTTGCCTAGCATGCAGAGCCCTGGGTTTGATCCCCAGCACCACAAAAACCTGGTAGCACATGTCTAATACCAACGCTATAGAGTTCAAGTTCAGCCCAAGTTCAAGAAGTTGGGCTCTAGAAGAGGCGGCTCAGCAGTTAAGAGCACAGACTGCTCTTGCAGAGGACCTGCATTCAGTTACCAGCACCCACATGATGGCTAACTATTTATAACTCCAGTTTTAGGGGAACCCTCTTCTGGCCTCTCTGGGCATTGCATACATGGTTGCACTTGCATGCAGGCAAAACACTCATACACATAAAATATAAATAAAGCAATCAAAAAAAATTTTTTTGAAGAGTTCAAGGTCATCCTTAGCTACATAACAAGTTTGATCCATCAGACCTTGTTTTAAAAAAATAAAGCAAAACTTAATTTCCTACTTCAGGATGTTCTTTAGGGTATTTAGGAGATGGGAGGGCTACAGTGTTGTAGGGTTGCAATGCAGTGCCAGGGATACTGAGGTGGCACTAGCTACAGGCCAAGTCTGAGGGAAGCACAGAGGGTCACTGAGCAGAGGGACTTACACAAACATGGTGAGTTTCAGATGATCAACTAATCTAAGTGTAACATTTCCAGAAGACAGTTAGAGGAAGAAAGATTGAGCCTGGGTGATAGAAGTCACTTGTCTAAAATATCTCTATTTTATCTTGTATGACATGGGAGCCACTGAAGGTTTCTGATCACTATTCTGAAGTGATGAACATGCAGTAGAAATAGATCACTTTGGAAGTTGTGAGACTGCCACCATGTGGTCCTGATGGGGAGGAGAGGTATTGCTGGGTCCTTTGGGCCATCTGCAGTGGTTTTTTCTGTCTGCTTGCAGCACCTATGCTCCAGTGAAGTCCTTCCTTCGAGTGGACAAGGAAAAGGTAAGTTCCCTGCCTCCTCTTTTCACCTCTCCTCCATGTAAATGGTGCTGGGCTTACCCAAGGTACAGAGTACCTCATGTCCTTCCAAGACACTCAAAATCTCTGCCTGTTAGTATGCCTGACCCCAGCACCAACCACAGGAACAAAGCCCCTGCCTAAGACTAATGAAAAAGCACTGGGGAGCGTTAGAAGCTGCTCAGAGCCTGCTCAGGCCTCCAAACCTTTATGTGTCTCTTATTCCCCTCTCAGGTCCAGATTTACAACCCAGCCTTCTTCAAGTATATTCATGACAGGTGGACAGAGCATCATGGGCGGTACCCTTCCACAGGGATGCTGGTGCTCTTCTTCGCCCTGCATGTGTGTGATGAGGTGGGTAGTAGGCCCTGGACTGGAGGGGAAATAGGGCCATAGAACAGAGGGAGCTTCTCCTATCATAGCAGTGACTCTCTCAAAATATTTTGTAAACCATGTGAATTAGACTTTGCATTTCCTAATCTTTTTCTTTTTCTTTTTTTCCTGGTCTTTTTTTTGAGACAAGGTCTCCCTGTAGCCCCAGTTGGCCTAGAAACCTCTATGTGGACCAGGCTGATCTCCATCTCACAGAGATCCCCCTGCCTCTGATTCCCAAGCGCTGGAATTAAAGGTATATGCCACCACACCTGGCATACATTTCCTAATTTTTTTGGGGGGGGGGTTAAACTTATGGCTGGTTGTGGTGGTGCACACCTTTAATGCCAGCACTCAGAGGCAGGCAGATCTCTATGAAATCGAGGCTAGCCTGGTCTACATAGGCCAGGCCACTTGGAGCTACAGGAAGGCCCTCAAGAAGACACAGAGAGATAGACAGACGGACAGACAGACAGACGGACAGAGTGACTCTGGGTGTCCTCCACCACGGTCCCTGACGCCCAGTGACCTGCGCCGCCCTCGCCCGTAGGTGAACGTGTACGGGTTCGGGGCCGACAGTCGAGGCAACTGGCACCACTACTGGGAGAACAACCGGTACGCGGGCGAGTTCCGGAAGACAGGCGTGCACGACGCGGACTTCGAAGCCCACATCATCGACATGCTGGCTAAGGCCAGCAAGATCGAGGTCTATCGAGGGAACTGAGTCGGACCTCACTGCGAACTTTCCAGCCCTGCTGTCCTGGGCACCGCCAGGCCACGTGGAACGACGTGGGGCTGCGGTCTGGACCAGTCACGCCACGGCACAGCCAGCGCCTGCAGCCGCCTACCAATCACAAGGCCGGCCCGGTCCTAACACCAACCAGCGCTATGGGGGGCGGGGCTTCTGTTTCTCAGCCAATCATACGACTCAAGGGGAACTTCCGGCGCTGGGACCTGTCTCCACCAATCACTGGCCTTGGGAGGCGGGCTGTTGGCCGCTCAATCCCCTCCCTTCCTCTCCGGCTTTGGGATAGGAGTGTCCCTTGTTGCTGGACTGGCTTGGGGCTGTGGCGGGAAGCGGCGGGGAAGCCAGGGGCAGCCGGGAAGGGAGGAGCTGATGTCCCCAGACCCCAGCGTTTCAAACTGCACATTCCTTCCCCCTCAGGCCTAGATGGGTAAGTGAAGCCCGCCAAAGAAATGCGGTCACGGTGAAACCCTCCTCGCCGCCCACGCGGTGCCTCTGTCCAGGGCGTTTCGTGGCTCCCCAGATCTAGGAAATTGGATTCACCCCACACTAGGGTGGACCTCGCCTAGGGATTAATTCCAAAACGGAAGTTAGGAACAGGGCAGGGGCCGCGAAGCCCCGCCGCGTCCCACGTAAGGTGCTTCTCACGTGTGCCCTTCCCCCTCCCCACTGTCTCTCCTGGGGCCCTGGGCCTCCTCCCCAGCCCACCTGTTGCTCTGGAGAAACGCGAGAACACCCGGATCCAGCACACACACTACAGCACTGTGGACAGCAGGCTGGGGAGGGGAGCCCAGCTGCTCCTGCATGCACCTTTTTCCTTCGTTGTCACCCCAAAGAGGAGCAGACAGCCTCTTGGAGGTCGGATTTGCTTTGGGGCTCATACTTTAGTTAACCTTAAGCTGCCAGGGATGGCTGCCCACACAAGATTGCTTGACAGTTCTAAGCAGGCCTTGTGGATGGCTCGGAGCTTTGCTGGGGAAGAGCAGATTTGTGGCTGCCCCCGCATGCATTCTCCTGCCCACACCCCTGTCCTGCCCAGCCCAGCCCACCTGCCTACTCTAACCCGCTCTCCGTTTCCAGCTCCGAAGGGTTGGGGAGCCAAGAACCAGGTGGCAAAACTGGAAACTACTTATATGACTTACTCCAGCGAGATCTGAGGAAGTTCAGCAGGCAGAAAGGGCCACTGCGAAGCTCCCAGGCCCTAGAAAGTGAAAGTACTCCCTTTCTCAATATTGTGACCCAAGTATTCCCCATTAGTGAATTGACATCACCAAGCAGCCTCCTGGTTGGGGGACAGCCACTCTCAGGAGAGAGTGTTAGATGAGGGTTAGAGTGGGGCAGTGGGCACCCCTAGAAATGAATAGATTGGGAACTTAGCTTGAGTCTATTCCCAGTTCCAGAAGCAGGGGTGGAGAGAATGGGGTGCATTGGGTGGGGGCTGTGGTACGACCTCTCAGGGCTCCAACCACCTTGCAGAGTCAAGGCACCAGCCGTTTCGCTCTCGCCAGTCTCATCTCTGCTTTCTGAAGAGGCTGCTTTGATGAGAAGTTGAAAAACTATGCCAAACAGTATTGAGCAGAATAATTTATTTCTTTTTCTTTGTTTTAAATCATTAATCCCCATTCTGGAAAGGTAGGTCCCAGCACCTAGATCTCCTTCTACAGTTATTTAAACCTTGAAATTTTTTTTTCTTTTTTTCTTTTTTTTTTTTTTTTTTAATTAAAAAGAAAAAAACGCCACAGAATCATTCATGTGTTCTAAACCGTTCTGAAACATTCTGTCACAGATGTATATGGGGGGAACATGACTGGAACAAACAACCCTGATGCCCTCCTATACCTGAGAAACCTTGTTCATGAATTCTGCTCTCTGAAGTTCCCCCAAACAAAGTGTTGTATTATGGTTTAAAATCAATTCATTATGCCAGGCATGGTGGCACACCTGTAATGCCAAGAACTGGGAGCCTGAGGCAGGAAAATCAGAAGTTCAAGGCTAGCCTCAGCTATATACAGAACAGGTCTGTGGCCAGTCTGGGCTACATGAAGTACTGTCTCTAAAGAAAAACTAATCAAAAAAACCTCACTGCTTCCCTTCAGATGTCCCCCAAAGAGGAATTATTTGGAAAGAATCCTGGCAGCAGCTTCTCTCACAGGCCATCCTGAAATGTCCTCTTTCATAAATACAGGGCCTCTAGTAGAGGTTCCTGTTCTGGGCTTGGTACATCAGCACCCTCAAAGCTGGGCTGTCCCCAAGTCTCTGGGGTGAGCTCATCTCTGGAGTTTTCTTGGCATTGACATTCTCCTGCTGGCTCAAAGTGTTAGAAAAATCAGACCAGTAGCCAGAGTCAGGTAAATAGAGGGAGTTTTAATCCTCTGCTAGTAGGACTGATACACGGATCATTCCATAAAGGAGTCAGCACCCCCACCTCAAGTTTTTGGGGATCTTTATACTCCTGTGAGGAATGGGTGCAAAGGTTACGGGGAATGTTGCAGTTTTGGGAAACAGTCTTCTATCCTAGGTAACCACAGGGAGCAGGGAAAGACTCCTGTTCACCTCCCCCATTTGTCTCCTATCTTGGCATTTTAAAGACTCCTGTTCCCCCCCCCCCCCCCCCCGCTCCAAAGTTCTTAATTACTATCACACTGCAATAGCTTTTAGCATCCCTTTGATGTGCTTTTCTGTTTCCATTATGCCACCACAGCACAGCCTTCATCCTGCTTCAAGTGCTACTACTAGTGCCTCACTAAGGGAACAGACACCCCTCAGCCTTGCACATCACCAAGGAAAAAGTGAATGCTTAAATAAATTTTGGTAGGATAACCAATGGGAAAAGATAATGTTGGATCCGTTCCTTAAACTGCTCACCAAAATAAATGCCAAATTGATCTTTGAACTAAACATGAAAAAACTCAAAAATAGTAGCTTTGTATTATTTTTTAAAAATATTTTTATGTGTATGCGTGTATTGCCTGCAAGTATGGAAGTGCACCCAAGTCGTGCACTGCCCGCGGAGTTCACAAGAGGGCGTCGGATCCCCTCGAAGTGGAGTTAAGGACAGTTGTTAGCTGCCATGTGGGTGCTGGGAATTGAACCCAGCTCTTCTGCAAGGACATTGTGTTCTTAACCGCTGAGCCATCTCTCCAGCCCTCTTATTTATTATTTTTATTTTATGTGTATGCGTGTATTGCCGACATGTAGTTAAGTGCACCCGTGTCGTGCAATGCCTGCAGAGGACAGAAGAGGCTGTTGGATCCCCTGGAACAGGAGTTAGACTGCCATGTGGGTGCTGGGATTCAAACCCCGGTCTTCTGCAAGAACAACCTGTTCTTAGCCACTGAGCCATTTCTCCAGCCCTAGTAGTAGCTTTTTTATAGACTCAAATGCATGTTAAATGTTTCATCAGCTTTGTAGCTGGTTTTTGGACTTTTTATTCTCATGCTTTCTAGTTTCCATTATTAAGATGAAATTTGTTCATCCATTTTCTGGTATTCCAAACATTTTGTTAGATTCCTTATCTACAGCCATAATCATTCCCATTGCTTGTGTGAGCTTACAGTTCCTTCCTACAGCTTTCTCGGGAGGAGAAAGTATGCTATTTAATCATCTAGTGAGCAGACACTTCCTGATCTCCACAGCATTCTTCCCCTCTGGGTCTTTGTATAACTTCTTTCTGTCACAATGTAAGTCTGGGATGGAAGACTGCCCTCTCTGCTGAAATACGAGAAATTGCTTCAGAATTTTTGTACAGGAGTGGACCCTACCAACTCTCAGGGTTGGCCTTAGGATGGCTAGATAGAATCAGCTACAGCCTGGGCTCAGGGGTGTTTAGGTTCAACTTGAACCAGCAGCTCACATCTCATTGAAACAATTCTATTTGAGGCTCTGCTTATCATTCAAGATATGTACCATGGAGCCCCAGAGAATGGATTTCTGGTGTCAGGGACAGAGAAAAGGGAACTTGAAGTTAGTGTGTTAGGCTTTTGCCAAACAAGTTCAGTGACCATGCCTCAGTTTTTTAGGGATGTGCAATCTTGAGGGAGAGGCACATTATCTGGAAAAAACAATATGCAGTGTCTACTACAGAGGGCTCTTCAGATGGAAGCCTTTGTCTTCTTGGCCTGGGGTAAGGTAGGCACATGCCTCATTAGCTAGTTGACAATGACCTATTTGGCAGAGTACTAAAGAGCTATTCCTTCCTATGAGATGGCAGATTCCAAAGCTGTATTTATTTTTTTTGTTTGAACTGATCTCATGTAGCTCAGACCAGCCTCAAAGCCTGATCTTCCTGCTTCTACCTCCCAGGTACTAGAACTAAGTCCTGCTCCACCATGCCCAGTTTATGTAGTACTGGGGATGGAACATGTGACCACTCAGGAAGCAGAGGTAGGTGAGATTGAGGACATCCTGGTCTACATAGCAAGTTCCAGTTCAGCTGAGGGTACAGGGAGATCCTGTCTCAAAAAAAAAAAAAAAAGTTGTATGTGTTCACCAGAACAGCCTAAGGGGACACATGATGGCTCAATGTAGTGTCAGAATAAAGGTTTTTTTTTGGGGGGGGGGGTCTTTTTGAGACACAGTCTCCCTGTAGCTCCAGCTGGCCTGGAACTCACTATATAGACCACCACCCCCAGCACTAGATTAAAGTTTTTTTTAATTTATTTTTATTTTATGTGTGTTATGCATGCATGTATGGAAGTGCACCCATGTCACACAGTGCCTGTAGAGGTCAAAAGAGGGTGTCAGATCTTCTGGAAACTGGCTCTGTAAAAAGCCCCCAATTTGCTGGGTGTGGTGGCACATCGCTTTAGTCCCAGCACTTGGCAAGCAGAGGCAGGGGGGTCTCTGTGAGTTCCAGGCCAGGCCAGCTGGGGTCACAGAAGACCCTGTCTCAAAAAGACCAAAAAAAACAAAACAAAACCCAATTTATCTCATTTATCAATTCCTGTAGTGCAACCTGGTCAAGCCCAAGCTCTTAGTGATTCAATCAGGCCCTTTGGAATGGGTTACGACGACTCTAACCTAAGCTCTTTTCTAAAAAGTGAAATGAAGTCCAGCATGTGGTACACACCTTTAATCTTAGCACTTGGAGACAGCAGCAGGCATGAGGTCAGCTTGGTCTACATAGACCATTCCAAGCCAGCCAGGGCTACATAGTGAGACTCCATCTCAAAAACTAAAATACAAATAAAAAGTTAGTGAGATGAAAAAAGCGAGATGAGGGGGTTAGTGGAGTAGCTCAGTGAGAAAGCGTGTGCTTAAAATGTTCCAAGTACAGGGGCTGGAGAGATGGCTCAGCAGTTAAGAGCACTGACTGCTCTTGCAGAGGACCTGGGTTCAATTCCCAGCACCCACATGGCGGCTATGAACTGTCCTTAACTCCAGTTCCAGGGGAATCCAAAGCCCTCTCTGACCTCGGCATTGCATGACACAGGTGTGCTCACATACATGCAGGCAATACACTCATACACATAAAAATATTTTATTAAAAAATGTTCCAAGTGCCAAAAAAGAAAAAAAAAAGTGACATTCATTTTGAGTATACACACATGCTTTTTCTCAGACCATTTCTGAAAAATTTAAATATTTGTTTTATGTGTTTTGCCTGCACGTAAGTGCACCACATGCATGCAGTTCCTTCAGAGGCCAGAAGAGGGCATCAGATCCCCTGGAAGTGGAGTTAAGATGATTGTTACCCACCATGTAGATACTGGGAACTGAACCCATGTCCTCTAGGAAGAGCAGCCAGTGCACTTAACCACTGAGCCATCTCTCCAGCTCTCTAAATTTAAAAATTTAAACGTGTGTGTGTGTGTGTGTGTATGGTACATTTATATGTACCATAGCTGTGCAGATGCTCACAGAAGGCAGAGGGCACTGGATCCCCTGGAAGTGGAGTTTCAGGCAGTCGTGAACCTCCTGCTGTGGGTGCTGAGAATTGAACCCAGGTTCTCTGCCAAGAACAGTAAGCCCCCTTAAGCACTGAACTACCTCCAGCCCTAAAATTAATTTTGTCTAGGGAGAATTTTTTTTATCTATTTTGCAATATTTCATAGCTTCAAACCTCTCTAAGCCTTTGGGATTTTAGTTTTCATGTTTTTGTTTGTAGTACTGGAGGAAGGCACATGCCTAGGCAAGTGCTTTACCACTGACCTATACATCTAGTTTTCAGGGATTTTTTTTCCAACTTTATTACAGTGTGTGTAGAACATTTGTGCACATACACCATGGTGCAGCAGTGGAAGTCAGAAAACAACTTTATGGAGTCAGTGCTCTTCCTCTGCTCCTATGTGGGTGCTCCTATGTGGATTCCAGGGATCAAACTCAGATTGTCAAGCTTGCACAGCAAGAGCTCTCACAGGCCCATTCAGGTTTATTTTAAAGGGTTTCTTCCCAATATTCTCTGCCCACAATGCATTGAGATGAGTGACTGCCCACTGCAGCTGGCTTCTCTGGCCCTCTGCTTGCCAGTTCATAGCCAGGTCCACTGACCTCTAGTCAAGGATAGGACAGTAGAGGTGGTGTCATTTACTGTTTCAAGTTGGGATTTGTACTCTTCTCTCTCTTAACAATTGTCTCCCTTCCAGCCACAATGCAAGGGAAGGTGTGACCCCGCTTTCTACACTGGGGGGCAACTCTGAACTAGCCAGCACACTTCCAAAATGAAGACCAGCACTTTCAGCTTCACCCATTTTTTTCCCATTACTAGTTCACAGAAGTATCTTGTTTTTTATCAAGACAGGGTCTCCCTATGTGCCCATGGCTGGCCTCTGCCTCCAGAGCACTAGGATCAAAGGTATGCACCACATGTCTGTTCTTCTGCCTTGTTTTTGAGATGGTTTTTTTTTTTTTTTTTTTTTTTTTGCCTTTCGGTCACTATTCTGTGGGTCAGAGCTGGTCTTAACTGTTACTCCTCCTTTACCACTGCCTTCCCACCCAGCTGTACCATGCACCTATGCTTGTGTGCACACAGCATCCTGCACTACCTCCCCAAGTGGATGATGTCTTTCACTTGTTTTCATCCATTCGCTCAGGCTAGAACTCTGGTCCATAAACTCACAGCTGTATTGTACTCACCCTCGATGGAACCAAAATCCATCACAGCCAAATGACAAGCCAAACAATTTTCTCCCTTTGGAGACAGGAACTCACTGTGTTGCAGCCTAGATCCCTGGGTCCTGGGCTCAAGAGGATACTACACTGGTGAGATATGGGCACCAACATAGCCAGCTAATGACATGATCTTTATTATTTTATGTGTTTTGCCTGCGTGTAAGTGGACGCATGTGATGCAATGGCCATGGAGTTCAGAAGAGGGAGCCCAAGATTCCCTGGAACTTGACTTACAGATGGTTATTAGCTGCCATATAGGTCCTAGGAACTGAACCCAGATCCTCTGCAAGAGCAGCTAGTGCTCTTAACCACTGAGCCACTTTCCCACCCTTATAAAAAAAAATTTTTAATATACTGCTCAAAACCCAGCTTTATAGGAAATAGTATATTCTAAAATACTATATTTTTTGTTTATTTTATGAGTGTTATTATGCCTGCATGTGTGTTAAGTACACCCATGCCATGCAATGTCCAGAGAGGACAGAAGAGGGTGTCACATCCCCTGGAACTGGAGTTACAGAGGATTGTCAGCAACCGCGTAGGTGCTGGGATTCAAACACAGGTGTTCTGCAAGAACAGCTAATGCTCTTAACTGCTGAGCAATCTCTCTAGCCCCACTGGAATACTTTATAGTACTAGGAAAAACAAAGCTTTGTCAGCTGTAACAAAACTAGGTTTCTTGGCCGGGCGTGGTGGCGCACACCTTTAATCCCAGTACTTGTGAGGCAGAGGCAGGCCGATCTTGGTGAGTTCAAGGCCAGCCTGGTCTACATAGTGAGTTCCAGGACAGCTGGGGCTATAAGGAGACCCTGTTTCTGGAAAAAGAGAGAAACCCTTTCATCTCTTCAGCAGCATCCAACCAGACCACCCCTCATGCCTTTTT